GGTGGGACAGGGTTGTTACCGAGAAAGCCAGTACGCTTCTGCCCAGGATGCTGTCCTCCCCTGCAGATTTTACCAGCCCAGGTGTCATTCAGGGTGAGCTTCTCTGACAAGCATAGGTGCCACCTGACGAGAATGAGCCCCAGCTTCACCTGGCATGGTGGGACCTGGTGAAGCCCCTCACCCTGGCCACGGAGCTATGGGAAGTGGAGAGGAGCATTTTCTCAGAGGCCCTTAGTGACCGGGCAGGCAGGATGCTGTTTGTCACTGTGGGTGGTAGTTAAAGCCACCCACTTGCCTACCTGCCCCGCACCCAGACCTTGGTGCAGTGACTGGGATGACAGAGGCTGTATCCAGATTTGCTCTCAGAGCCCTGAAAGTCAGCCGGGGTGAGAAGGTAGCCTGATGAGTGGGGCTGTCAGGGAGGACATAGTCCGTCCCTGAAAGGGGTGTCAGAACTCTGTGGTGGGCCTGGGTGGGGATATGCTGGGAGAAGGGCCCTGCATCCATGGGAACTGCCAGGAGTTTGCAGAGGGAGCATATCAGGTTTAGGCAAAGAAGGATGCTGGGGGATGGGGTGGGAGGTGAAGCTGGGAAGGGGAGGGGCTGCTGGGCAGCGGGCCTGTCTTGAGTGGGAGGCGAGGGACTGGAGAGAAAGGCAGTTCCTGATGGTCCCCTCCCCAGGGGCTGGCTTTCCTCTGGTCCTTCCCTCCCAATGACCGCGTCTTCGTCGAGGCCGCAGCCCTGGGCTCTGTGCCCACACCTCTGGCAGCAGGTTGCCCGGAGACCCATCAGTGGCCTTTCCTTAGACCACAGAGCCCTCCCCATCGCATCTGGAGAGCTGGTCTGCCACTTACCTGGGCCAGCTTGGACAATGGGGTCCTGCAGCTGAGTTGGGGGGTGCTCTGTATATGGCCTGTGAGCATCAGTTGCCAGAGCTGCCCCTGGCCAGTGGCCTCACCCTGCGGCCAGGCATGTAGCTCAGGGAGGGACACAGTAGGCCATAGCAGACAATGATGGCCGCCGCCTCTGACAGTCCCAAGTGGCACATCCATGGTGGGGCAGCCCTCAGAACCAGCCCTTCGTCCCAGTGGGGATCTGGGCCGGTGGCATTTCGGCAGGGATGGGCTGGCAGCCTGGTTGCCACAGACACCACCAGCCAGCCTTGCCTGGCACATTCCTGTGTCTGAGAGAGACCAGCTCCCCTGTGAGAGGAGGAGGCCTGTGTCTTCTGTGCTGGACTGTGGCTAGGTGACAGATGCTGAGAACCCTGTTAGCTGCACCTGGCAGGTGGAACACCTGGGGCCCCAGGAGGCCCAGCCTGCTTCCTGTCTCACTGTACTTTGTTCTGGATGATTCTACTGACCCGTCATCAGCTGTGTCTGATCTGCTGTTAAATCCATGCCTGAGTTTTAATTCATGGTTACTATAGCTTCCATTTCTTTTTTTTTTTTTTAAAGATTTTTATTGGGCAATTGGGGGATGGGAACAGTGCTGGGGAGTTAGGGGAAGGGGAACAGACAAGTTGTTGTCCTTTTGTTCTTCAGTCTAGTTGTGGAAGACGTTGCTTCACTGTGCTTCACTGGCCCAAGTTGGCACCATCATTGCGCTCTTCCTGGGCGAGGCACATCAGTCGCCGGCTTCTGGACGGCCGCTCACTGCGGCTGCTGGCCGCTCACGCTGGCTGCTGGCTACATATGGTAGCCCATGGCAACCCACTGCCACAGGGGCTGCAGCCTATGCCGTTGCCGGTGACTCACGGCAGCCCAGCTCCAGGTTGAGCTGTTGTTCAGCATCTTAGCTGCGGAGGGCAGTGTCACTGGCCCTCATATGTGGGATCCGAACCGTGGCCCTCTGGCATCCCAAGCCAGTTCTTAACCATCGCGCCACTCGGCCGGCCCCCTATAGCTTCCATTTCTAAAACCTTCTGGTGCTTTGTGAACCTCCTGGTTTCTTCTTCTTTTTTTTTTTGATGTGTCAATTTTATTTTATTTATTTATTTATTTGAAATGGATCATCAATTTTATTTTTTATTATTTTTAAAAATTTTATTGTTAGTTTCAGGTGTACACCTCCTGGTTTATTCTTTATCACTTCCTTTTCTCTGCAGATATTCCCAAGCTCCCTTTTCTGCAGTCAGAGCATGGTTAGCTTACAATACATGTAGGGATCTCTTTCTGCTGGTTCTCGTTCATGGTGCTTTGTTTTGTTATGTGGTTCTTTCTGACTGTGTACTGCTCTTTGTCCTAGAAATTATTTATGAGACTTCTCGGAAGTCTAGGATGAAGATGAGAACCATGGTTTGCCCAGTGCCCAGAGGCACTACCAGTGCAGGGGCACCTCACACCAGTCTTGGTGTGAGGGTCCCTGGAACCCAGGTGTGGCCCTGGCTCCATTCTTGGGACTTTTCAGGGATTCCTCCACTGCTGAGCTGTCCCTGCGGTCTGTGAGTGGCTGTGGATTTAGCCCACCCTCATCCTGAGAGTTTGCTCTTCAGGGCCCCAACTTCCCTTGGAGGAAAGGTTGCTTCTAGATCATCTTTTGGGGTAGCCCTGGGCCTTGTCTTCTGTCCTTCTCACCCCTGAAGCCGCCAGAGCCCGGTTTGCCCCATGGGTCAGTGCCCTAGGGCAGGAAGGGCCACTGAACTCTGCTTTCTTTCCTCTCTGACTTCCTGTGTTCTTCAAGATGTTGGCTAAATTCTACATGACCTTGTCAGCTCTTGGCTGATTTTAAGGTGTCTTCATATTCTCTCAAGTATTTTGAGTCGTTTTTACCAGGGGGGTTGGCCCCACCAGCCTGCCCACCAGTATTGGGATCATCAAGTACCCCCTGGAATGATGGGCCCAGTGGGCACTACCAGGTAGCCCAATGGTGGGAACCTAGCCCTCTCCTGTCAGCAGCCCATCTCACATGGCTACACATCCCCTAGCACCTTGCACTTTTGCTAAGTCACTATGGTGACACCTCACTTGTACAACCACAGGCTTTAGTGAGGGCAAAGGTTGGTCCCCTGTGACCATTACCAATGCCCATGCCTGTGAGGACTGGGGAGGAACAGGGGGCTGAGTCCTGGGAGTCCCTCCAGGGCCTGTGGGAGCCAGTGGGGACAGTAGTAGAGTGAATTCTTCCCCTCCCACCCTGGCCAGACCAGTGAGCAGAAGTGAGTGGAGTGGCAGGGACACCATGACATTGTCCACGGGAAGGCCCCAGGAGCTTGGCAGCCTCTGCATGGCTCTGAGCCGAGGCTGTATCTGAGGTGTCTGACTAGGGCTTTGGCACCTCCTTGGCTCTTTTGTGTTCTGTGGCTGCAGCCCCTGCTGCCCACCCGCCCGCCCATGGTGTGTCATAGCTTTGATGGCAGGGTCAATGTGGTGCCAGCGTCTCCCTTCTGTGAGTCCTGAGACAGGAAAGTTTTCATTTCAGAGATCCAAGAACCGGGAGCAATTGCACTGATGTCAGAGGCGAGCTCTCACCATCACTGTTCGCCTGCCCCGTCCCCATGGCTGGCAGTGGGCCTCTTCTGGAACTGTGGTGTGTGGATGACGGGGACTCCTCCACTTCTGAGCTGCCCCTGCGGTCTGTGGGTGGCAGTGGATGTACCTGAGAGTTTGCTCTTCAGAGTCCCAGCTTCCCTTGGAGGAAAGATTCTTTCTAGATCATGTCTTGGGGGCAGCCCTGGGCCTTGTCTTCTGTCCTTCTCACCCCTGAAGCCACCAAAGCCCGGTTTGCCCCATGGGTCAATGCCCCAGGGCAGGAATGGCCACTGAACTCTGCCCCTGCCCCTGTCCCCAGCAAGGGCCTGACTCACAGACCTACTTTACAGACGTGTCTCCCTGAGTGGAGCCCAGGCCCTGCTCTAGCAGGCACCATGCACTTAACATCCTGGGGCAGGCCACTGCATGGACCCTCTCCAACCCCATGGTGCCCCAGGCAGGCTGGGTACTTGGAGCTCAGTGGCCTCCTCTAGACACACATGCACACTGACACTTGCATAAGTGCATATACAAGCACACGGGCAGACGTATCCATGCATTTACGCATGCGTACAGACCTCATGGCCTCACATATGTGCACATACAATGCACACACCGTCCCCCTTGCTCATCAGGCTCTTTCTTCTAGGGACATCTTGGCATTCTTCAGTACCTGCACAGCCTCTGCTTCCCGTTTCCTGGCTCTGCACTGGAGCAATGTCCCTAGCTTATCACACACGTGCAGGACTAGAGACCCTCACAGTCACCTTGTCCAGGGTTGGTGGTTTTGGGATCTCATCTCAGTTCTCAACTTGTTTGTGGGAAAAGACCTGCTGGCCCCAGAGGCCCTGGGCGAGTGACCTGTGTGTGGGGGAGGAGGTACACACCAAGTTCTCACTCAACAGCCCCTGGGTGTGTGCCCATGTCACTGGCATGTGTACTTTGCCTATGTTCCTTGCTGACAGGAGTGTGCAGGGCCCTCTGGGTCTCCTGGCCACGATTGGGCTGTTGTGGGCGGAGGGTGTGTGCTGAAGGCCTGCTGTAGACACTGCTACAGAGTGTCCACAGGTCAGTTGGACGTGACGTGGCCCTGCCTTGAGTGGCTGGGTGCTGGAATTGGTGCTGTTGCCAGGGGAAGGAATGGGCAGTTTGGGTGGGGGGCATGGAGCAAGCGGAAGAGTCTCCTGGACAGTGTGGGCTGGCTTGCCTGCCTGTGCTCATGGTTCTTGCTGTGGCTGCTATCTCCCCCTCCACTGCCCACTCACCACCCCTATGTGGTGTGTGCAGGACCAGTGAGCCCAGCGAGCGTCAGGGTAGTCTGGGCAGTGCTGATGAGTATATATGTTTAGGGAAATGATTGTGTGGTGCTGGTGAGCGTCACGGTCTTGGGCACATGGTTCTGGCATGTCCAGCGAGGGTCAGGGGCTTCTCAGAGGTGGTTCTATTCTGGATCAGGGAGCATTTCAGGTTCAGGGAAGGTGGTTCTGTTGTCTGCTGTTTACTTAACTCATTTTTTTCTTTTTCCTGCAGACTGTGTGACCTTGTGTGAACAAAGCCACCCTCGGGGACCCATGTGCATCATCTTCTTTAAGTTTGATCCTCGCCCTGTTTCCAAAAATGCATACAGGTAACTCCCTTGCTCTGTGTCTGCCATCATCTGCTCAATCTCGGGTGCCCCGCAGTCCTCAGCGCCCATGTAGGTGCTGTGAGCAGGAGGGGCGTGCTGCTGCTACCTGCGGGCTGAGGAGATGGTGACCCTGGGACGAGCTGCACAGGCCTGGCCTGCCCTCTCAGACAGCGACCACTGAGCATGGGGCGCTGGAGGGACTACTTCTCGGTGGTAAAGACCCTGAGTCGATGTACAAAGATACTAAGACCCAGCCTCTATAGGTGGCTGTGTGAGCAGGACAGGGGAGTGGAGTGGGTCCAGGTAGGGGCACAGCCCTAGGGGCTCTGATGGGGGACCAGGAAGCAGCAGAATTGAGGTGACAGTGAGCGAGAGCTCCACTCGGGCTGGCTGGTCCATGTTGCCTGAGAGAAGTCTGGGTGGTAATAAGTTGTGAGGAGGTGGGGGAAGCTGGGGTACTAGCCGGAGGAAGTGGGAGACTGAGGACTGTCTCCTCATGACCCTGGGCTATGGATGACACCCCTCTATTCCCCAGGGCACCCCAAGGGGAAAACATCAGCATTTATCCACGCAGAGAATGAGGCTGAGATGTAACCCACAACCAAACATGATATTTGTAACTGCTTACTAGTGCAGTTGACTGGGAAAAGTTTTCATCATTTTAGAATATGTACCAGAAATTATTTGAACTATTTTGACTAGCTTTTTGGATTTGAGTCACCATGCAAAATCATAGACTGCATGCTGCCTAAACATAGGTTGTTTCCATCTCTTAGCTATTCTGAATAATGCTGCTATGAATATTAGTATACAGGTGTCTGTTTAAGTGGCTGAATTAACTCATTCCAGGCTAGGGAAGGGAGGATGAAGAGTGTCCACTGTTCCCTTCCTGCAAAGGAGTGGGCAGCAGGGCCGGGCCAGGCTCTGGGAGCTGACCCTGACCAACCCCTAATAGGGTGAGCTGTTTGGGTCAGGGTGCAGGCAGTGGACAGGACCCAGGCACAGTGATTCAAGCAGGGAACATGTAATATACAGAATGTCTAAGTATAATGGGATTGGAGTGCCCAGGGCAGAGCCCCATCCTTCACCCCTGGGCTGAGATCCAGACCTTGCTGGAAAGACAGCTGTGGCACACTGGATGACCAAAAAATCACTGGGGTGCTGCACCGGCAGAACTTGCTGGAAATCTGCCCTCCAGGGTGTTGGCAACTGTTGCAGGGAGGATGCTGGGGGAAGGCGCTGGCCACTGGGTGCAGCTTACTACTACTGCTACAGTGGGCTGGGGAAGCCACATGTGTTGTGGGGGCCTCCTGAGAAAGCGCACAGGAGCCAGGGAAAGAAGCCTCTCCTCCAGTGTCTCTCCAGCGCCCTCTAATGACAAAACTTAACATGGTGCCAGCTGCAAAGGTCAGCCTCATTATCACAGAGCAGGCAATGGAGGGTGAATTTAGGGCTGAGATGCAATAAATGGATAACTGACATGGTCCACCCCATTTGCTCCTGAGCTTTCATATCACTTGTCTACATTCATTTGAACTCCTACACACCAACAAAACAACTCTCTTTCCACCCAACAAGCGAAGAATTTCTCACATGAGGATATGCAGCCTGACAGTCCCTAAGTCCATTGCTGCCTGTATTTATCACTTCCAGATTCAGCCGTAGCACCACTTGATATGGTGTTCCCCAAGGTTGCTTCCAACCTCCTGCAAGTAAAATAAAATAGGGAAGAAGGAGAGGGGAGGGTGAGCACAGGTCTCTCTTGCTTTCGCTCAGAACCTGTGCGTCACTGCCAGAATCTGTCCTCCTAACAACTAACTCCTTGTAGGCTGCAATTCAAGACAGCTTTAGTGTTTCTCTCAAGTGTTTTCCAAAGCTCTAAGCTAAAGACTAAATATGCCACTTCTGGGTGACTGACTGAATATACTCAGTGTTTTCCCGACCACATGGGAGGGCTAGAGGGGCTTCTGGTGGCTGCTGCTGTTGTAGGGGGTGTCCGGACAGTGAGAATGGGCAGGCTGCAGGCTCTCCATGTATGCACTTCTGTACGTGTGTGAAGCGAGAACAGGACAGGAGCAGGGTGGGGGCTGCCATGGGAGGGACACCAAAGCATGGCCAGTGAGGAGAGGCCTAGTGAGCTGAGCCTGGGTATGTCAGAGATTGAGGAGGGTCTCCCAGTGCCTGGAGAGGAAGGGGGAGCAACGAAGGGGGTGCAGGCCCAGCACCAGGACCATTGGCATGGAGGTGAGGAGGTCCTGGCTGTCCAGCGCTGCCAGGAGCTGTCCAGGCCAGCAGGGACTTACCCCAATGCCCCTTACTTGGGCTCCCTTCTGCCTTAGCCATTGCTGTCCTGGCCTGGGACGTACCAGCCTCTGCCCCCCGCCTTGGGATCCACTACTGCTGTAACATCATCTGTCCCCCACATAGCAATAGTCAAGAATGGGAATGTCTGTGGGATAAAGCATATATAACATACAATTTTGAAATTCTAACCATTTGTAAGTGTCTAGTTCCATAGCATTAAGTATCTTCACGTAGTTGTGCAACCATCTCCACTGTCCTGTCCATCTCCAGAACTCTTTATCTTCCCAAACTGAAACTGTCCCCATTAAATAATAATGCCCATTCCCCCTCCCCCTAGCCCTTGGCAACCACCATTCTCCTTCCTGTTTCTATGACCTTGACTACTCTGGGTGCCTCATATAAGTAGAATCATGCAATATTTATCCTTTTGTGATTGGCTTATTTGACTTAACATGACGTCTTCAAGGTTCATCCATGTCATAGTATGTGTCAGAATTTCATTCCTCTTTAAGGTTGAGTCATATTCTTGTATGGATAGACCACACTCGTTTATCCATTCATCCATTTGTAGACACTTGGATTGTTTCCATCTCTTAGCTCTTCTGAGTAATGCTGCTGTGATTATTAGTGTACAAGTACCTGTTCGAGTCCTGCTTCCAATTCTTTTCAGTGTATACCCAGAAGGGGAAAAGCTGGATAACATGGCAATTTTGTGTTTGACTTTTTGAGGAAATGCCAAATCGATTTCTTCGAGTGTCTTTTGATGATCCTGTCATAGGCACCCCTTGCCATGTCCCCTGTTTGTTGGCAGAGAGTGTCCTCACAGTGTGTCATCATTGTGCATTGTCCAGATTAGGTCCTCTCCTCCCAGCCAGATGGTCTCGGTACTGGGGTCGCCATCCACATGGACCCTGCTGCCCACCAAGCTGGTCCGCATGGCTGGGACCGGTGAGGAGGCCCCTGTGGCTCTGTGTGCTCCGTTCAGCACCCTCAGTATCAACTGTGCCTCTTGCCCCTCAGGGTAACAGATGGTCCCTGTTCTTATTCATATTTGTGGGTTAAGCTCATCCCTGCAGTCAGTTGATTGCAAAGAGGACCTTTACTGTTGGACCTGTGGCCATCATTACTGTATATATAAATGTGATTCAAACAAATCACCTCTGCTTGTAGAAGAGACTCAGGCATCTTCATTTTGTTTTGTTTTTTAATTGGGAAACAGTGTTTTTCCAGGACCCATCAGTTCCAAGTCAAGTAGTTGTTTAAATCTAGTTATGGAGGGCGCAGCTCAGTAGACCATGTGGGGATCGAACCAGCAACCTTGTTGTTTGAGCCTTCGCTTTAACCAGCTGAGCTAACTGGCTGCCCTGAGACATCTTCATTTATGATGCTGTGGGTGGAGTTGCTCGTGGCTCTGCCTTTTATAGATGCTGATCTTATGGGAATATGTTTTCTAGCTTCCCAGTAGTTAGTTCCTTGGAAGGGGAAAGGTGAGCCTGTCCCCATCACGCCCTGCCCAGGACAGCCCAGTGACGTTCAGGGTTAGCCTGTCCTGCTGCCTTTGCTGGCATGGTTCCTGAAGCATCTCTCCCTCTCTCTAGCTGTGTTCGAGTATCTCTCACAGGAGAAAGCATGGGCAACTCAGAGCGGGCATCCTGTGGTCTGTTCATGCGCAGACTTATGGTCACTGTCTGAGTGGCCTGCAGTGGGGAGAGAGGGCCGCCAGCTCAGCGCCTGCCCAGGGAGTTGCCTCTGCAGAGCAACGCCAAGCCTAGTGCTGGGCCAGGCTGTCTCACACCCCGAGGTCTGCACCGCCCACCTCTCTTGTTGCCACCATGCTGCCCTCCCTTCTGGGGGTGCCCATCCCTCCAGATGTGGCAGCCCCCATGTCCCATGTCACTGCCGCCTACCCCCAGGCTCCCTCGGGCCCCCCTGTCTGTCTTCTGGGTGCTGGGCTGGCCCTCGTGCAGGTGAGGTCTGCTTTCTAGGTTGCACCCGGCCACCCACATATGGGCTCCTCGGGTGTCAATCCCTCCTGGGGTCATCTCGGACACGGTGCATCATGGCCCTGCCCAGGGCTGTGATCCCCTGAGTGGTCCCAGCCTCTGCCTCCTACGCCCATTGTTCCTTAACACTTGGGGCCTCCAGCGTGGTCACTACCTTGGTGGCAGTTACCCAGTGTGATTACAGTCTGGGTGCCTGTTGGTTTTGCTTTTGTTTTTAATTCTAGTATGACTATCTGTGGTGCTCTGGCACAGAGCCTAGTAGATAGACTTACATTAGTGGCCTGTGTGATGCTGATTTAGAAGTTTTCCATGCTAGCTGCAGCTTTGCCTTGGGGTTCCAGTGACCTTGCCATGCACTGTAGAGGCAGCTGTGTTCTGATGGGATTCCATTGATGTTATTTTCTTGATGGCAAAGGGATATGTGCTCTTTGACGAAAAAGTCATACCTCACAAGATATACAAAGTGAACTGTGAGCTAACAGACCCACCCTCCCCCAGACAGTGCACAGACACCCCCCCTCAGCAGCGGGTGAGGAGTGCCTGTTGGTTCTGAATAATTAATTAGTGGTTTCAATTAATAGAACAAAACAAAGCCATGGGTGACTCACTGTCCTCAAAACCCCTCAAAGCCCCAACTGGGCACAGTAGCACAGGTGGACTTTTATCGGCATTGTGGTCCCAGAAGTGGTGACTGAGGGAATACTTCCCTTACGTGGAGCCTGAGGTGGGTGCACATCAGACCTGCACGCCTCTGAATTACATATTTAAGGAAATCCCCGGCAAACCACGAAATTCAGCTAGCGACTCCTTTGACAAAAATAACCCAGAAATTAATGTTCCTGGTTATTAACAGGCACATGTAATTGCTACTTGTTTTAAAACTAGGCAGTTGAAAATCTTAGGACAGAAGGTTCTGCTCAGTCAGCTTCCCCGCCCCTAATTTTGCCTTGTCTGGAGCCTAGTATAAGAATCAGAGCCAGAAGCTGACAGCACCAGCCTCATTTTGGGTTCTTTTTTTTTTAGATTTTATTGGAGAAGGGGAACAGTGTTGGGGAATTAGGGAAGAGGAACAGCCAAGTTGTTCTTCAGTCTTAGTTGTGGAGGGTGGGTGCAGCTAGCTCAGCTCCAAGTCCAGTTGCCATCTGGCTGCCTGTCGGTCGGCAGCTCACGGCCGCTCAGCTCAAGGTGCCCATGTTTAATCTTAGCTGCAGGTGAGTGTAGCCCACCATTTCATGCAGGAGTCGAACCGACAATCTTGTTAGCAGCACATGCTCTCACCAGCTGAGCTATCCTGCCACCTGTTGGCAGCTCAGTGGCAGCTCAACTCGGGTGCAGCTCACTGGCCCATGTGGGAATCGAATCGGCAACCCTGTTGCTCAGAGCTTGCGCTCTTAACCAACCGAGCCACTCGGCTGGCCCCTCATTTTGGGTTCTTGTTCCTGACCGCATGAAACGACCCCCACCCATGGGGGTTGGTGGGGGTCCTGGCTCTTGCTGCATTCCCATTACAGCTGCGGAGTCTTACTCCCACTCGGGGATGTGGCACTCTCCCTCCTCCTGACTGCTGTCCAGGCCATGGTAGATGGAGCACCTTCCACCAGGATGGCCCACTTAGCCTGTGGGAGCAGGTCCAGCCAGGACAGACCCGGGGCTGGGTCCCAGAGGGGCAGAGTGGATGTAGTGGGAGGCAGGGGTCAGGGCCCAGCTGGTTTCTCCCTCAGACCACCTATCTCCACCCAAGGCTGAGGTCCAGGTTGGAGCGTGGCAGTTGAAGATACAGAAGATCATTCTGTGAATGGCTGGGGCTTTTATCAGGGACAGGGACCTTTCCCTCCTGGGTGAACATCCCTGAGACATGGCACAGCCCTTGGAGCCAGCTGTGCAGAGGGGATAGAGAGTGGCTGTTGGCCAGATGGGTGTCCCAAAAGTGGTGAGGCTTCCAGGGCAGGCCCGAAGTTTCCATGGCCATGCACAGTGCCTGGCTGTGCTCGCACCAGTGGCCGGGGCTGCATGGGGAGGTGCAGAGTGGAGGAGGGGTCTCATGCCATGTGCATGAAGTGCAAATACTTCCATGGTGCAGCACTGGTTTCATTTTTCAATTTTATGAACATTGTTGTTAATTCGCATTGTACCATGAGCAAATTTTCATAAAATCAATGAGACAATACAAAAATTATTTTTGAAGATTTTTCAGGCCCTGACCACTGACTAGATTAATTTGGTTTCACACCCAGTATGACCACAGGCTGCCAAGCCCTAGCCCCTGACCCCTTGTCCTCTGTTCACCTGTGCGCCTGCTCGTGGTGCTCAGAGGGTCCTCCAGTGATCACTTATTAGTCTCAGAGGTGTCCCACTCAGTCACTATCTATATTCTTATTTAAATGGCAAAGCCAACTGGAAACATCGATTTCTTTCTTTTTTTTTTTTAAGATTTTTTTTTTATTAGGGAATTGGAGAAAGGGAACAGATAAGTTGCTGTCCTTTTTGTTCTTTAGTCTAGTTGTGGAGGACGTTGCTTCACTGGCCCATGTTGGTATTGTGATCATTACGCTCTTCCCGGGTGAGGCAGTCGTTTGCCAGCCATTGGACGGCCGCTCACGTTGGCTCATGGCAGCTCACGAAAGCTCACGCCAGCTGCTGGCCAGCCCCACTGCAGCCTACGCCATCACCTCACGGCAGCTCAGCTCCAGGTCGAGCTATTTTTCACTGTCTTAGCTGTAGAGGGTGCAGCATCACTGGCTCTCATGTGGGATCCGAACCAGGGCCCTGCTGCTCAGAGCTGGCGTCCCAAGCTAACTCCTAACCAACACGCCACTCAGCCAGCCCAGAAACATCGAGTTCTTACCTCCAAGTCAGGGCTCTGAAAATTGTGACATGTTTTCTAATTGCCAAAGAAACACTTGTTTGATTTGTAATGAAAAAAACTAGTGAAACATAGAGCTCTTACCCATTGCCTCCCAAAACACCCCAAACTCAGGACAGCAGCCCTTGGATATCCTGTGTGCTACTGGGGTTCACATGCATCCCCAAGCCACTCTGGTGGGTGTACTTATACTTCCGGAACACTGGCTGGGGTATCCTCAGGGGAAGGGACAGATGGACAGAAGGAGGGTCACCTCCCTGCTACCTGGGTGCCTGAGACTTGCTTGGGTGCCGGCCACTCAGGGCCCTCACCTGCCCGGCCCCTGGTCTCACTTGGCAGGCTTTGTTCTCATAGGCAGCGGGTGTGCAGGGACCCCGTCCCTTGGCCCTGAATAGTATGGACACATGTCTTCGCCCATCTCCTGCCCATTTCCTCTGGAGGGCCGTGGGGTTCAGTCCTCACCGCAGGTTCCCCAGGAAACCACCCACCTGGAGCTGCCGCAGACCCTTGTCCCATGCGGCTTCCTGTTCTCTTTGGAACTTGCCCATGTTGTTACTGAGGCAAATTTTCTTTGTTAACTAGAGAGAGAAAAAGGCTTTTCTGTTTCATCCAAGAGTTGCAGTGATGCTTTCTCCTTCAGGCTCATCCTGGCAGCCAACAGAGATGAATTCTACCACAGACCATCCAAGTTAGCAGACTTCTGGGGAAACAACAATGAGATCCTCAGCGGTAAGTCTTCCCTTGCTGTAAGTGGCCACAGCGTGGCAGGAAGTGTGAGCCCCGGATGGTTCTAACTCTTATGGGTGCTGTCTCCCCGTGTAAATTCGGAATGACTAAGAGGACACTGACGGGTCTCGTGGGGTGGGCTCCAAAGTCACAGTCCGGGGCCAGTGTTGGGTTGACCAGACCTAAAACTGTCCACCCAGCACCACCCACGTGGCTTCATGCACTGTGGATCCCCAGAAGAAGTAGCGAGAAGAGTCAGTTGGTTTTAGGATCTACCCTTTCCCTGTGGGCACGTGGTTGGGTTGGTGTGAGGTGCAAGTCCATGCTTGATCACTCTGTGTAGCATCATAGTTGTGTATGAGGGGATGGGTGTCGGCACACATTTCTGTTTACCCACAAGTGCCCCTTGCTCCAGGGAGAGCTGGTCTGAATTTGGGGGAGCAGAGGTTTGCCTGGGGCATCTTCAGGTGGGAGCTTCACGAGGAGTTCCTGCGGTGGCAGAAGCGGAGGTGACAGCCAGGGCCCCTGCCCACCCAGCCGGCAGCCTCCCTGAGCCCCTTGGACTGAGAACAGTTCCTGCCCACAGGATGGGCAGGGGTCTACTTGGAGGGCATGTAGACAGGTATTGGCTAGGCCAGGAGTCCCTCTGCCTGTGAGCCAGGCACCAGGTACACACAGGGAGCCTGGCAGAGCTGACAGGGTGCCCAGTGTGCTGGGCTTGTGGCCTTGTGGGCCCAGGGAGGCTGTGTTTGCCATGTTCTGCCTGCAGGGTCTAGAAGCTCGGCTGTGGAACTTCCACAGAAGGCCTCCGATGTAGACTGTGGTTGGGCAGTGGTGTGAGAAAAACACTGCTGAAGCTGGATCGTCCTGGTACGCTGTGGCAGGACAGGAGTAGGGGGACCAGGGCAGGGCACCATCCTGAGAGGGAGGTCTGGCAGGCAGTGGAGAAAGCTGCCGAGAGGCTGTGAGTGGGGACTTCAGGATGGCTGAGTGAAAGATGGAGAAGAGGCTGGGTCTCTTGCTGTGTGTTGGGTTTATCATCAGAAACTACACAGGAGACCTTGGAAATGTGTAGACTTGCAGACAGGAGCATGAGGTGAGGCTGGCAAGGAGACCCTTGCTTTTACAACAGTGCAGTAACCCTAGGGGGGTTGGGTGTGTGTGTGTGTGTGTGTGTGTGTGGGTTCATTGTCTGGATTGGCCACAGCTCTCCCTGCGAGGTCAGGACAGGAGGGCTGAGGGGAGCCTGTGGTCACAGCCAAGACCATCAGGCTATCCTGGGCTAGGATGGAACGGAAGGGGGTCATGAGATGGAGCAGGCTGTGTGTGTCATGGCTGCAGGGCGCAAATAGGAGGCTAAAGTGTGTGTGTGTATTGGGGGGCGGACTTGTCAGGATGCATGGGATGAGGGGTGAGGGGCTGATACCCTGGGGAATTGGGGCAGGAGGCACCTCTCGAGGATTTTTGAAGATGAGGACACGGAGGCTCAGATGAAGGGTTTGCCTGCCTGGGTCCCTTGGCCATCCTGGTCACCTAGACTCCATCCTACCCTGGTACCCTGGCCTGCACCCTGTCTGTGAATCAGCACCAATCCAGCTGGGGAGCTGCAGCCACTCAGAATTGTTCACCCTTTGTAGTGATTTGGGGGAGGCCCTTTGGCACGCTGATACAGGATGTCTGCCTAGTGGGAGGGTGGTCACCACAGTGCCGAGTGGGCCCAGGAGCCACTGAGCCCAGCTTAGGGCTGAAGACACCAAGGTCCACATCTTCCCGCTGTCTGGCATCACCAAATTGTGTGCAGAATTGTAGATGAGTGTTTCTCGGAGTGTGGTCCTTGAGCCAGTAACATCAGCATTACTTGGGAACTTGATAGAAATTAGGACAAATTTGAATATTATTTCTTCAAATATTTTTTCTGTCTCCTGCTCTCTCTTTTCAACCTTTTTTACTCTTTCTCTCTTCAGCTGCAGATATATTTGTTTACTTGAGGTTGTCCCACATTTCGATGATGCTCAGTTCATTTAAAAACCCTCTTTTGTCTCTGTTTTATTTAGGTATTAGGTAGTTTATATTGCCATGTCCTCAAATTCACTAACCTTTCTTCTGCAGTAAGAAGAAAGGTTCAATCCCATCTTGTATATTTTTCATCTGACATTTTGTAGGTTTTACCTCCAGAAATTCAATTTTTATGTCTTACTTGTCTCTAGTTAGCTTATTTAGCATACAGAATACAGTTTTAATAACTGTTTGCATGTCCTTATCTGCAAATTCTGACATCTGCGTCAGTTCCAGATCAGTTTTAATGGACTGATTGAACTCCTCTTAGAGGGTGGGGCCATGTTTTCCTGCTTCTTTGAATGCTTGGTAATTTTTGATTGGATGCCAGACATTTGTGGATTTTATCTTGTTGGGGGCTGATTTTTTTTTTTTAAAGATTTTATTGGGGAATTGGGGGAGGGGAAGAGCGTTGGGGAATTAGGGAAGGGGAACAGACAAATTGCTGTCCTTTTGTTCTTCAGTCTAGTTGTGGAGGACGTTGCTTCACTGGCCCGTGTTGGTATTGTGATCATTGCGCTCTTCTGGGATGAGGCAGATCGGTTGCCGACCATTGGATGGCGGCTCATGGCAGCTCATGCTGGCTGCCGGCCACTCATGGTAGCTTACGGCAGCCCACTGCAGCCCCACTGCAGCCTACACTGTCGCCGGCAACTCATGGCAGCCCAGCTCCAGGTCAAGCTGTTGTTCACCATCTTAGCTGTAGAGGGCGCAGTGTCACTGGCCCACCTGTGGGATCCGAACCGGGGCCCTGCTGTTCAGAGCTTGCACTCTCAAGCCAACTCTTAACCAACGAGCCACTTGGACAGCCTGGGGGCTGATTATTTTTGTAACCTATAAATTCTTGAGCTTTGTTCTGGGACACAGCTAAGTTACTCAAACAGTTTCAGGTCTTGCTTTTTAGATTTGTTAGGTGGTAGGTCTGAAGCTATGGCCAGACTAAGGCTGATTATTCTCTATACTGAGTCAAGATCCTTCTCTCTGTTTTTCCCAGTATCCTCTGAATCTTGAGGTTTTCCAGACTGGCTTCTGGAAATAGGCACTGTTCCTGACCCTGTGTGAGCACCGTCCCCTCTGATCCTCCTGGATGGTTCTTTCCCGGCCTTGGGTAGTTTCCTCACAAACATGTACTGATCAGATGTCCAGGGTTCTCTGTGCAGCTATCTCCTCTCTGGTCTTTTGTCCCAGGAACTCCAGTTGCCTTGGTCTCTCTAGACTCTCAGCCTCTCTTCTCAGCCAGGGAGTCCGCTGAACTCTGCCGAGCCCTTTCCCGGTGCTGCATCCCGGAGACTCTCCAATTGTGGGGCTCAACTTGTTCCTTTCCTGTCTCTCAGATATTGTTGTCCTTTGTTTTTTTATGTTCAGTGTCTTAAAACCCATTGTTTCATGTCATTTGTTTATTTTTTTTGTTTTATATAGGAGGGTAAATTTGGTCCTTGTTGATTGGCCAGGTTGTAGAAGTTTCATTCATTTTTTTAGTTTTTATTTTTTTTTATTGGGGAACAGTGTGTTTTTCCAGGACCCATCAGCTCCAAGTCAGGTAGTTGTTTCAATCTAGTTGTGGAAGGCGCAACTCTGTGGCCCAGGTGGGAATCAAACCGGCAACCTTGGTATTATGAGCACTGTGCTCTAACCACCTGAGCTAACTGGCAGCCCCTCCTTCACTTTTTAATTGTTGATTTGTAGTAGTTCTTTATGCATTCTGGATATGAGTCCTTTGTTGGATAAATGTATTGCCTACTCATTTTCTTAATGATATGTTTTGGTGAGCACAATATTTTCTTTAAATGAAGTGTAGTTTATCTACTCTTTTTTTAATGGTTTGTTCTGTTGTCTTTGCCTACCCTGAGGTCATAAAGATATTTTCCTCTTGTTTGCTTCTAGAAGCCTTCTGATTTGGAGTTTTATGTTTAAGTCTATGATTCATCTCACATTAATTTTTGTACATGGTGTGAGATAGTGGTTGAAAAACATATGTCCCCATCTCTCCAGTTGTTCCAGCATCATTTACTGAATAGTCTTTTGCCTATTGTGTTACTATGACAACTTGGTTGAAAATCAGTTGAACACATATGTGTGGCTGTGGACTCTCTCGTGTGTTTCACTGATCTGTTTGTCTGTCTTGATGCCAATGCTACACTGTTCGATTACTGCAGCTTTTTACCAAGTCTTGAAATCAAGTAGTGTAAGTTCTTCAGCTCGGTCATTTTTCAGGACTGCTTTGACCATCCTTGTTCCTTTGTATATGCATACAAATTTTAGAGTCAGCTTGTTAATTTCTATAGAACAAAAAACGTGCTGGGATTTTGGTTGGGATTGTGTTGACTCTCTTGGTCATTTGGGGAGAACTGTCATCTTAACAATATTGATTCTGGTGGAGGAACAGGGCATAGCTCTCATTCAGTTAGATCTGCTCGACTCTTAGTACGGCTCTGTGGTTTTCAGTCTTTAGGTGTTACACATTTTTCCTTAAACGTTTTTTCTAAGTATTTAAAAAAAATTATTTAGTGCTATTGTAAATGGTATATTTAAATTTTCATTTTCCAGTTCTTGTTAGTATTTAGTTCTAGTAGATTTTTTTTTTGTTGGGGGGGGAGGTAGATTCCTTTTGGATTTTCTTCCCATATAATCTTGTCATCTACAAATAAAGACAGTTTTACTTCTTTCTTTGTGATATTTACAGTTTTTGTTGTTTTTATTGTAATAAAAATAACATTTTAATGAATTAGCTGTTTTAATCCCAGTCTTCAAGTAAAATGATCCTCTAGGCTAGGAAGATGGTCTCCTGTGGTTTTAAGGGCCTGACCGAACCTATTGTGGGGCCGGGTGGATTTTGTAGCATTGATTGTGGAAGAACCCCTGCTCTGAGAATGGGACTGGCTGGTGGGCATTGGGCTCCTGATGAAGTGCCCACTGTGAGGGCCTGACGCATGTCTGGGGAGGACAGCCAGTGCCCCGCACCAGATCCAGGACGAGGTTCCCTTGACAGAGCTGGTTGGTGCCCTGCTTCCAGCCCAGCGCTGACCCAAGTTCCAGGATGCTGCTGCCTGTGTCAGTTGTCCTGTGGGGCACGGCATGAGGAGGGCATTTCTCACGTGTCCAGTGGGCCCCAGGGTCTGCTGTGCCCTGCAGAGCCAGAGCCCCTGTTCCACAGCCAGAGCTGTGGGGTTGAAGTGTGACTCCCCAGGACATGGGGACAGGGTGGGGCTGGCGCCTCTGTTCCACAGCCAGAGCTGTGGGGCTGAAGTGTGACTCCCCAGGACATGGGGACAGGGTGGGACTGGCGCCTCTGTTCCACAGCCAGAGCTGTGGGGCTGAAGTGTGACTCCCCAGGACATGGGGACAGGGTGGGGCTGGCGCCTGTGTCACTATTAGTCACTATTAGTGGTGATGCTGGCGTCCTCCCAGGGCTGGACATGGAGGAAGGCAGGGAAGGAGGCACGTGGCTGGGCATCAGTACACGCGGGAAGCTGGCGGCCCTCACCAACTACCTGCAGCCACGGCTGGACCGGGATGCCAGGGGCCGAGGTACTGTGGGACAGGGCTGGGGGTTGGTTTAGGGGGTGTGGAGGTGGGGCCTCAGGGGTGGGGCCTCAGGGGAGGGGCTTCCTTGGGCACCTGCAGAGACAGGGGGAGGAGCTGGAATGGGGAAGAGAGGCAGGCGTTTTCCTGGGCTCCCGCAGTCCACTGGCGGGCCTCACTGTGGAAACCACCCTCAGCCTGGCCCACATGACACCCACCCACACAGACCTTTCACCCCTCTCAGGGAATGTTCTCCATACTTGTCCTCTGACCAAAGTGTCAGTCCTGACTGCTGTGTCATTGTCTTCCACCTGTCTAATGTTTGCCCCTGGGAAGACAGCTCCATAGATACAAATGGTCTCTGCTGAAGACTTTTTTCCCTCATGCTGGACTTTTATGTGGGGACACAATGGAAGAAAAGAAATTTTAAAACAACAAAAACATAGTTCTTGATGCAGATCTCCTTGGCTGTCAGGTCAGCCCATGCAGCACTATCAGTGTCCCAGGGAGAGGGGTTAAACCTACTGCCTCAGCCATGGGTGTCTGTCCCCTGCTCGCAGGTGAACTTGTGGCCCACTTTCTGACCACAGACGTGGACAGCTTGACCTACCTGAAGAAAGTCTCCGCAGAGGGCCACCTGTACAACGGCTTCAACCTCATAGCAGCCGACCTAAGGTGGGTCTGCTAGAGGAGGGACGGCAGCTCATTGAGTGCTGCTGCAGGCTGGGTCATGGGCTCAACAGGAAACGGGCTTCCTGCCTCACCACTCAGCTTAGGGTACGTGGCATCTGTGGCAGCCTCCCGAGAGACGTTGCTCTTGGTGGGCTTGGTGAGTGTCCCAAGAGCTGAGCTCCTCCGAGACCTGTTGTGGGGATTCAGGAAGCAGAACTTCGAAGGGCGGCTTCCTGTGACCATGTGAAGGCTGCTGGGTCGTGCTGTGAGAGAGCCTGAGCATGACTGCAGGGGCGCTCTCCTAGCAAAGGATGTACCCCTTGCCCACACCCGCCCCTCCACCCCCAGATCCCTTCCCCATGTCTGTGGCTGAGGAGCCCCCTGTTTTTGAGCCATATCTCACTTGCCCTGCTTTCTGGTGGGCAGAGGTGCCTCAGGATAGAGAAGGAAGGTGCAACCACAACTGGCTGTGTTCCTGGAGTGCTCTGGGACCGTGTGGTGGCTGAGTGCTACTCAGTGCTGGGGCCCTGCAGTGCTGTCCTCAGGGAGCTGGGTCTGAGCGGGCAGCATGATTCACTTAGGTTCTGGGAGGGGCTCAGGGCTCTGAGATTGAGGAGTCAAGTGTTGGAACCATGCAGAGGGCCTGAGCCCCCTGGGGAAGTGGCAGTTGGAGCCTTGCCAGGCCCATGTGGGGCACACAGAGAGGTACTGCAGGGGGCTGATAGCTGTAGCAGCAGTCATTGGTTACCTGGATGGCCGCATGCTGAGCCTCTCACATGCAATGCTCAGTATATCCTCAGAGCCACCCATGTGCCTGATGCAGCTGAGCTCAGACAGGCAGGTGACCTGGCCATGACCATTGGATGTGCAATGTGGAGCCGGGGTCCCCTGGTGCTGTGCTGGGGTCCTGAGTGCCCCTGGAGATAGCAGTTGCATCCCCTCCATCGTACACCAGGCTGGGAACGAGCACTGCTCATTTCCAGTTGAGGCTGGTTGCTACTGGGTCATGGCCTGGCTTCTCAGTGTGTATTGATTTCTGTAGCTCCTGGGCCTGAACCCTGGCCTCGGCCCAACACCAGCTCAGGCACCAGCTGCACAGTCACTGCTTGTGACATCAGTGTGGCTGACCTCCCACTGCGGACACTGAGCCCCGAGGTGAAGTGATTGTTGGTACTTGGCTCAGGTTAGCGGGAGACATGGAGACATGGGGCACCCTTGTGTCCTGGGGCAGTGGCAGAGTGGGGGTAGGGGTGGGGGGCGGACCCTAGAGCCTGTGCCCTGGGCCGTCAGTAAGACACTAGTGAACAGAAGCAAGGGAGCTATAGTCTGGGTGCCAAGCCCTTGCCTGGTCCTGTCTTTGGACAGATGAACTGACGCTGTTGACAGTTGCAGTGTATATGGAAGAATGTGCTGGATAGGGGAGCAGCAGTGCTGTGGCCATGAAGGGAGGCCAGTATAGAGAGGCCCTGGCTGGGTGTTCACCCGTCCGCTACCTAAGGGCCTTGAAGAGCAGCCATTCGATTCAGGTGTTGGCAGGAGCAGCGCGCATCGCCAACCAGGGCGAGCTGCGTGTGCTGGGCTCCTGCCCATATGAAGTGTCAGTTAGAGATAAGGATGTGGGAACTGCAGGGCTTTTGTGTATTTTGCTCTTCAGTGAAGTCAGCATCCCTCTCCCACCCTCCCTTCCTCCTGCCCTTCCCCACTCTCTCCTTGTTCCCCTTCTGTCCCCCTCCAAAGCCGCAGAAATTGGTGGCTGCTTCCACCAGGGAGGCAGTCAGTGCTCCATGGCTGGCCCATAAACAGATACCTGTTCTGCCCACAAGGGCAGGTCCATGGGCTTTTTTCCTGGCCCGGGAGCCCCAGGCCTGCTATGTGGTGTGCTGGGCCCCTGCCCCTGCCTCGCAGATAGATGCATCAGTCCAGAGGCTGCAGTGCCCCATGGGAGGAGGGCCAAGCGTTCAGGCTGGTGTTGGCACTGGCACTTGCTGCCTGAAGCCCTCTCTTCCCTGCCTTGGCTTGCTCACACCTCCAGCAGCCCCTGGAGTGGGGGTCTCCATGCCAACTTAGTGATCACTTTGTTAGTAATTCTGTGTGTGTTTGACCTGATTTGGGAGACCAGCCCCTCAGCTGCCACACCAACAGGACTTAGAGCTCAGCAGCTGTGTCAAGTGGCTGGGTGATGAGGGACTTATGCTCTGAGTGGACGCTTGCACAGGCAGGTGCTCCTGCTGGTGGAGGGTGGGGCTTGGGCCCCTCAAAGCCTGAGTAGCTCTCCCAACTCCCAGGGCCACAGGGTCAGGGCCTGCTTCCCTGGACACATCCAGGTGGTGGCCAGGAGAACCCAGTGGGTTATGCCTGAGGAGCATCCCAGGGCAGGCCAGAGGGCACAGGGAGTCAGAGTTCAGCCAGCAGCCCTGGTGGTGGGTACCATGAGGGTGTCAAGGCCAAGAAGAGAGCCTCATCCCCATCACCGCTGGTCCCTGGGTCAGGCCCCCCTCCACCTGACCACGCATGGTGGGAGTGGGTGCCCACTCCTGCAGGTCTTCATGCTTTCCAGCTTTTTGCCTGCAAACAAAATCTCTGAAGTCATTAGATAGATGTCTTCAGAAAGGAGCCAAGAGCTGTGGGGAGAAAGAATGTGAGCAGAATGGGAAGCCACTTGGGGGCCAGGGGTCCTGCCTGCAGGGTGGCATTGAGCAGGAGGAACGGGCCGGGGTGGGGCTGGCCAGTGGGCCTCCCCAGCACTCCCTGGCCAGCCTTTCTTCTCTGTTCATTCTGAAGGCTTGGGTCTCCATGTCCAGTGTTCCACCAGGAAGGTGGCTCATAGGCCAGAAAATGTCCCTCTTTAGTTTGCAGAAAAGGCATTCCAGGTTTTAGCAGAAAGAGTTACTATGGTATTTTGGAATCAGAACATTTAGCTCTGGAGCATTTTAAACTATAGTAATACCTTGGTTTGCGAGCATAATTTGTTCCGGAAACAAACTACTCGTATTGCAAGACATCGCTCGTTCACCACATTAAAATTTATTAGAAATGTTTGCTCATCTTGTAGAACACTTGCAAACCAAGTTACTCGCAATCTAAGGTTTTACTATATTTTTAAATGCACACTCAGGAAAATGTGGTCTTTGGTGCTTTGTTTGGAAGCCTCTATCACCCTGGGGCATCCTGTCCAGTCTGGAGGTGCTCAGAGATGAACTGTGGGTCTGGGGGCCAAGGCCTTACAGAGAGCACTGGTGTTCATGAGTGCAGGGCTCAGCTCCCTGCAGTTGTCACTGTTCTTGGCCTCCGAATACCCATGCTATGGGGTCATTCAGTGAAGCAGTGGGGTCTTTTAGATGCTACTTCTCCCAGGCCAGTGGTCCCTGCAGTTAGCCGGGAGTTGGGAACCAGGGGTCTCTGTCCCTGCCTGCAAGTCCCCTGAGAGACTGGGGCTCTGACTAGCTCTTGTCCTGGCTGCAGTGGACCACTGTCCCTGTGCTGGCTGCTGGCAGGGTCACTGGGGATGGGGCTGTGGAGATTGCCGGACAGTGAGGGGTCAAGGTGATCCACAGCCCCTGTCTGACCCTCTCTGCCCTCCTGTTCACAGCACAGAGAAGGGAGATGTCATCTGCTACTATGGAAACCGGGGGGAGCCGGAGCCTGTCGTCCTGGCACCAGGTGAGCCTCGTCTGGTGGGTGGTGACAAGGTGGAGGCTGCTCCTGTGGGGACACCTCTGTACTTTTCAGAGACTAGGTCCCTGTCGTATTTCTCTCCTGGGACTGAGCTTTTTGGTCGTTTGTGTACCTTATGGCCTGTAGTGGCCTGTGGCCCGCACCTGATCCACAAGTCAGGCTGCCCACAGCTTAGGCTGCCTTCCCCAGTGCCGCGTCCATGACTGCTCAGAGAGAACTGGAAACTGAAAGGCACAAAAAGACACAGAGACCTGCCCCTCGCTGCCCCCCAATTCTGTGCATTGGCCCATAGGCCTTTGTGGAAGCATCTAGAAACTGTCTCTGCAATGCTGTCAGTTCTCAGTGCTGGAGACTGACTGGAGATGCTTTTTTTCTTTTTTGCTAGATAGTTGCTTGGAAGAAATTTTTTTCAACTACATCCTGTTGTTTCATCCCTGAGCCCTCCCTCGCCTGATCCGTGTCACTGTTTTTTTAATAACAGCTTTATTGAGATATAACTCACATATCATACAGTTCACCCATTTAAAGTCTATCATTCAGTAGATTTTAGTATATTCACAAAGTTGCGCAGCTATCACTGCTATCTAACATTTTCATCACCTCAAAAAGAAACCATACCCATTAGCAGTTACTCCCCATTCCCCCTTCTCCCCAGCCCCTGGCAACCACCGATCTACTTTCTGTCTCTGTGGATTTGCCTATTCTTGACATTTTATATAAATGGAGTGATGTAATGTGTGGCCTTTTGTGTCTGGCTTTTTTCACTTAGCATAATGTTTTCATGGTTCATCCATGTTGTATCATGAATTATGGCTTCAATTCCTTTATCTTTTAAAGATTTTATTGGGGAATCGGGGAAGGGGAACAGACAAGTTGCTGTCCTTTTGTTCTTCAGTCTAGTTGTAGAGGATGTCGCTTCACTGGCCCATGTTGGTATTGTGATCATTACACTCTTCCTGGGTGAGGCAGTCGCTCGCCGGCCATTGGATGGCTGCTCACAGCAGCTCACAGCAGCTCACGCCAGCTGCCAGCCGCTCACACTGGCTGCTGGCCACTAATGGCAGCCCAGCTCCAGGTTGAGCTGTTGTTCACCATCATAGCTGTAGAGCACGCAGTGTCACCGGCCCTCATGTGGGATCTGAACCGGGGCCCTGCTGCTCAGAGCTGGCATCCCAAGCCAACTCTTAACCAACGTGCCACTTGGCCAGCCCCTTCAATTCCTTTTTATGGCTTTTTATTTCTTCAATTCCTTTTTAATATTCCATTGTACATATATTCTACATTTTGTTTCTCCATTCATCCCTTGATGGACATTTGGCTTATTTCTACCTTTTGGCTATTGTGGATAATGCTGCTATGGACATTTGTTACAAGCTTTTGTATGGACACGTTTCCATTTCTCTTGTGTGTATAAATACTTAGGAGTGGAATTACTGAATCATAAGGTAACTGTTTAACCTTTTGAGAAAATGCCACACTGTTTTCCAAAGCAGCTTCACCATTTCACATTCCCACCAGCAGTGTATGAGGTTTTAATTTCTCCAAATCCTCGCTGCCAGTTGTCAGTGTCTCTTGTTTTATTACAACCATCCTTGTGGGTGTGAGGTGGTATCTCATTGTGGTTTCGATATGCATGTCCTCGATGGCTAATGATGCTGAGCAGCTTTTAGCCATTTGTAGATCTTCTTTGAAGAACTCTTTAGATTTTTTTGCCCATTTTTAAATTGGGTTGTTTGTATATTTATTATTGAGTTGTAGTTCTTTATATTTTCTAGGTACTAGCCCCTTATCAGATATGTGATTTGCAAAAATTGTCTCCCCTTCTGTGGGTTTTATTTTCACCTTCTTGGTATCTTTTGAAGCACATCATTTTAAATTTTGCTGATGTCCATTTTATCTATTTTTTTCTTTTGTTGCTTATGCTTTTGGTGTCATAGCTAAGAAATCATTGTCTAATCTAAGGTTGTGTAGCATTTCCCGTATGTTTTCTTCTAATAGTTTTATTGTTTTATCTCTTGCATTTAGGTCTTTGAGACATTTTGAATTCATTCTTGTATATGGTGTGAGGTAGGGGTTTCACTCCATTCTTTGCGTGTGGCTACCTAGGTGCCCAGCACCACTGATGAGTGGCCTTTCCTGTCACTCCTGATGGATAAAGCCCTAACTGCTGATGTGAGTCAGGACTGATTGAGGGCTGGTGCCTTCCTGGCCTCCAGGCTGCTGATTCTCCCACCCTGGACATATTTAGGTGGACTCACACCTTGCAGCTTTTTTGTAGCTTAGAGAGAGACACAAGTGAGATGGAGAGGTGGTTCCCTCTCAAGGTCCCCTTTTCCTTTGCCCAGTTGGATTTCAGGGTTTTTTTATTCCTTATTATCAAGGCCACTTGGCATCTGTGCCTCTTGGTCTCCTGTAGGCGCCCCACAATGTTGAGTTCTCCACCTTTCCCTGTGTAGATAGATGGGTTGGGAATACATGTGGAGAAATTGCTGGAGTATGGGACAGCCTGGCCACAGTGCCCCTGGCTGTGTCCCTGGCACATTGCCTGGTGCTGGGTGGGTGGGTGGAAGTTTACCCTGAATTCAGATAGCAGAGCCTCTGCACTGGCCGGCTGACCCCCTCCCTGCAGGAACCTACGGGCTGAGCAATGCGCTGCTGGAGACGCCCTGGAGGAAGCTGTGCTTTGGGAAACAGCTTTTCCTGGAGGCTGTGGAGCGGAGCCAGGCACTCCCTAAGGACGTCCTCATCGCCCAGCTCCTGGATGTGCTCAACAACGAGGAGGCGTGAGTGGGTGGGTCGCACCGGGATGAGCAGAATGTCCCCCTATCGCTCTGGCCCGGGGCAGAGAGGCAGGCAGTCTCTGCTGCCCTTTGAGGCCTGTGGAGGTGACGGGCCAGCTCCGTACCTGCAGGGGAGCTTGACGGATACACTGACACACTGTCCCCTGCCTTCCTTCTGCCTGCTCCTGTGGGCAGTTGAAGTTTCCAGTGGGAGGGGGCCTTCGATGATGGGAGATGGGGCAGTTGTGGGCCAGTGCACGAGGAAGCTTGGTGCTCTCAGGCTTGGCGCAGTCTCACGTGGGGCTGAAAGTAGTTGGAGGCGCCCCTCTGTCTGCACACAGAGGGCTAGTGGGAGATTCTAGAAGGTTCCAGGTGCTTAGTGAACTACAGAAGAGAGTAGCCAGCCTTAGAATACATCTGGGGGTTGAGTGTGCTTCCCACGTGCTATCCCACCAGCAGCCATGGCACAGGCACACCTGTCCCAGGAATTGCCTTGGGAAAAGGAGTCCTTGACCTGACTTCCCTAAGGCACTTCAGTGGCCTCTGCATGGGGCACCTGCCCCAGGGACGTCACCCCTTGGCATATATTGGCCATTCCAGCAGGGGGTCATGGCCAAGCTACCTTCTTCCCACTCAGCGATACAGCCCACACATCCCTCCCCTACCCCACTCAGGCCGCGCCAACATCCTGTCCAGATGCCCAGTGGCCCCTTAGAGGAACCCCCATGGCCTGCCTCCCACTCCTCACCCCTGGGGCCCCTCCCTGTACCTTGTTCACCCTACCTCTTCTCTCTGAACCATGAACCGGGGCACAGCTCAGCACAGCTGCCCCCTTGCCTGGGCCTGCCTGGTAGCCCAGGCTCAGCTGTTAAGTCCACACAGCACTCTGTCATTGTCTGTCATCCTGGCTGGCCCATGACAGGCCCTGCTGCTCTTATTGATAGCTGTGGCCCTGGCACCAGCTCCGGTGGTCAGCAATAGGGCTTGAGTAGCCTTCTGTTGAGTGGAGAGATGCCCATAGGACACCTCTCAGGATAGGCAGGGAGCGTGTGTGGCCAGGTGACTGCTCCTCTCAGCTGGGCCCTTGGCTGAAGTGCCCCCATTGACCCAGGCCCCACTGAGAGGGGAGGGCAAGCTCACCCCTGGGGTAGTTTCTGCACTCCCCTCATCATGGGGGCCCTGCATAGCTCTGACCAAACAGATTCCAGGGATTTTCAGATCTAGCAGAGCCTTCCCAGTTCACAGTTGCCCATATCTTTGGGGTCCTGGGTCCTGGGAAAGCTCCTGGTGGCCCTGGCAGGAGGAGCTGGCCCAGGGATCACTGTCCAGCAGCCCAGGCCCAGTGATAGAGTCCTAAATGAGAGTCTTGACAGAGGTTTGAGGCCTTGAGCAGAAAGGTGCACAAAATAGCCCTTCCAAGGCTGGTGGGCTCCTCAGGCACATAGATAGGGCTGTGGGTGGGCAGCAGAGGGGCTGGTGTTAACCCCCGCTCTGTCCTTCCAGGCAGTTGCCCGACCCGGCCATCGAGGACCAGGGCAGGGAGTATGTGCAGCCCATTCTGAACAAATATGCAGCTGTGTGCGTGCGTTGCCCAGACTATGGCACCAGGTATGGTGGGCTGCTTGGCGCACCCAGTTCTGCCCCATGAGGAACCCGGCTTTACCCGAGCTCCGTGGATCCCAGAGCCGCTGCTTTATTAGAAGCAGCTGCCATTGCACCCCAGGGGGCTGTGGGGCGAGCAGATACCAGCTCCCAGGGCTGCTGCAGACCAGGCGAGAGACTCCTGAGGCTTTCATTGCCTCCCGGGAGGGAGTCCTGGGCTGTCCCCTGCCCTCTACATAGCCGGGGGTGGGTGGGGTGGAGGGGGCTGGAACACCATCGGGCACACTCGTGTCAGAAAATCCTTGTGGGCTCAGAGGTCCCACTGACTGTTTTCCCTTCACTTGCCCTACGTCCCTGAGCCTGTCACGTTCTCTGTGTTACCAGGGATGGGATTAGATGATCTCAGCCCGGGATGTTGCCTTTCCCCAGGAAAGGGGCAACCACTGGTTTCTGCCGCAAGGTGAAAATGCCCAGGAGAAGCTGTTGGCACGGGTGTCTGCTGTCCCAGCAAATTCCTTTCCCGCCTTCCTCCCTCCTGGGAGGGAGGGAAACCCGGCCTGTCCTCGTGGCTAAATCAGAGGGCAGCGCACATGCTATACTTGGAGGTAGCTGGGATGCACAGAGGAGGGAAGGCTGCTGGTCCAACCAGGATACTCCAGGAATGCTGCTGCCACATGCCTGACCCACCTGACCTGGACGTGGAGAGAGGCCTCATGTGTAGCCATATCTGCCTAAGCTTGGCTTATACTGGGCACCATGGATGCCAGCCTTGTGCCAGGCTGGTGACCTGCAGTGACTGTAATATTGGGTTGTTGGAAAAGTCATGACGTATTTTTGTCTATGTTTTCCAAAGGTCATTTATTTATATGAAGAACAGATCAATCAATGATATATTGTCCGTTTTGTTCGATAACCTTTTGCATCTTTCAGTGAGCTTCATAATTCCTCATTCATAGAAGGACCTGTCTTTATTTGCAAAAAACTGAACAAGGTGCTGATTTACAGCCTCATCTGAATTGAACGTTATACCACACAAGGAGTTTTGAAGAGAGAGAGACAAGTGGAAGTCTGACGACACAAGGTCAGGCAAGTATGGTGGGTGTGGCAACACATCCCATCCAAGCTCCAATAATTTTTGACGGGTGATCAAACTCGTGTGTGGTCTCGCGTTGTTGCAATGGAACACAACTCCTTTATAGTGAACAAACTCTGGACGTTTCTGGATGATGGATTCGTTCAAACTGTCCAGTTGCCAACAGTACACATTCAAGTTGATTGTTTGGTTCCTTGGTAGGAGCTTGAAAAACATGACACCTTTAAAATCCCACCACACTGAGAGCATAACCTTCCCCTGATGAATGAATGTCTGCTTTTGACGTCATTTGAGGCGAATCATCACAACGGGGCCAAGACCCTTTGCGCACCACATTGTAAACAATCCTCTTCTCATCACCAGTTATCAGTCGCTTTAAAAAAGGATCATTTTCCTCACGTTTAATGAGCATATTACAGATGTCTATATGCGCTGTTAAATGAACTTCTTTGAATTCATGCAGAACCCAAATATCGAGCTTGCTTACATATCCCAGCTTCTTCAGGTGGTCATGAATGCTTGAATGATGGATATTCAATGTTTCTGCAATCTCTCGTGTCAAGTAACGTGTGTTTGACTTGATCAATGCCTTTATTTTGTCGTCATCAACCTCGGTGGGCCTCCCTGACCGAGGAGCGTCGTTAAGATCAAAATCACCAGCACGGAATTTCGTGAACCATCGTTAGCACTGATGTTCTTGTAGAGCATTGTCACTGAAAACTTGATGCAACTTTCCACAAACTTGACGTGCGTTCTTCCCTTTATGGAAGTAAAGCAGTAAAATATGGCAAAAATGCACAGTTTGGTCTTTCATCTTCAACTTGTAAAATCTCCAAAACTCAACCAAATCACTCAATTTTTTTTTTAGAATGAAGCTAGAACTGTCAGCTATCAAAAGACATAGCAATAACATAGATGTGAACGACGCTAGTACTTCCAAAAATGAACTAGTGCCATGTGTCGCAAACATGCGTCATGACTTTTCCGACAACCCAATAGATGGGCTCTGCCCTTGGGGGTCCATGGCTGCCAAGTATTATACTCAGGGACGAGGTGTTTGGGTTGTGACAAGTGCTGACTGATGTCAGGGTGATGTCACATATACACCTGGTTTGGGGGTTCAGGTCATTTGAGATTGAGTGAACCAGGCCCCTTCTCTCCCTGCAGGTGGGAGAGGTTGGGTTGTTGCTGCCTCCATGCAAATGAGGAGATGGCTCTCCCAAGAGGCTGTGAGCCAACCTTCCTGTGGTGGTGTGGCTGAGGCTCTGCTGATACTGAGGGCATCAGGCAGCATGATGGACGTGTAAAGTCCTAGGGACCAGCTGATTGAGAGGGCGGCAGGCCCCCTGAGTCTTCCATCCTCCTGGAAATGCAGCTTTAAGCACTCTGGCTGGGGGATAGGATGGTGGGCAGGGCCAGTATGATATGAACACCTGGCACTGATACTCTAGGGCTTGTGGGTTGCATGCCTGAATGGCAACCTTTCTGTCTGGGCCAGCTTTGCCCTTGGCTGGGGTATCATTTCCCTCAAGCCCCTCCTCTATCATTGGCTTACTTTTGTGATTAAATAGTGTGCTCATGTGTACTTGGTGTGTGAAGCGGAGCGTCGAGTCTGCTCCTTGGCTGGGGGCATGGCATCCGGGTCCCACCTTGACTGGGATTCCCAGTCTTCAGTATGCATATGCCCACCCTGGATGTCAGTTTTCATGTGCTAGGACTGCTTGGAGATCCAGTTCCGGCACTCCATCAGTGGGAGATGGGTGTTAACAAAGTGAGTACTTACCGTGGGGAGGGCCAGACAGGAGGAGAGAAGGTGTACTGAGCATTTGGGACAGGGTGGTGGGGGTAGTGAGGAAGGACAGGAGGTAGTTTTCCCGGTGGAGAAGGCCTAGTCCCCAAGCAGTTGACAGCTTGACCTTTTGGAAGAGCTGAGGATGGCCAAATGTCTGGGTAGCCTCTGGTAGCGGTGGTAGGCTATTGCCCAAGAGCCTGGGGGGGAGGGGGCAGATGTCTGAGTGGGAAAATGCGTAGTGAGCCCAGGGCCCACCCTGGAGAGAGGGGTGGGCAGTTGGGGCTTGCACTGCAGAGGGTAGGGCAGGCTGGGGGTGTTTCAGAGTGGAGGCGACAGGACTTGTCGAGCGTGGGCCTGTGGGCCCAGCTGGGGAGCTCCAGGCCCCACCATGCTCAGTGCCCAGATGCCCCAGAAGGGCCCTCCACTCCTCAAGGCTGAGATTGCTGCTGATTTGTGACCTGCCTCTAGCCGGGCCGAGTGCCTAGCACAGGCCCCAGGTGTGGTGGGCTTGACCCTTCTGCCTTGGATCTGACCCCAGTTGGAGCTTTGATAGGTGGCCAGCGGGCTGAACATGGGCCCATGCTCTCTTTCAGAACCAATACGATCATCCTCGTGGATGCAGATGGGCATGTGACCTTCACAGAGCGCAGCATGCTGGACAAGGACCCTTCCTGCTGGGAGACCAGCACCCATGAGTTTAGGCTGCAGAGCTAAGTCCCACCCCTGGGAGTGGCCAGCGGTCTCCTATAAGGCCCTGCCTTGAGGGATGGATGGGAACCTTCCACAGCACATGCCCTGCCTATGACTCAGCCAATATCCCCCAGGACCAGGGCCCTCTGATTTGTGTGTGATCTGCCTGTGTCCCTGTATCCAACTCGTTGTCCACTCTTATGCTAGTGGGAGTGACAGAATCCCACAGCCAGGTCAGGGGTAGGGCCAGGTGTGCTGTGCATGTGTGAATGCACCTGGGTCTGCCCCCTGCCCGTGCATAGAGACACACATGCAGGCACATGCTTAAATACATGCCTACAGGTGCACAGGCATGCATGTACACCCATAGGGCACAGACACACGCATATACATACACATGCACAGGCAACAGATGTGTGCACCCATGCTGGAACTCACACACATGTGCGTGTGCCAGACAGGCAGAGGTGTGCCTCACACACCTGCATGCAAATCTGGCCAGTGAGTCTTTGCTTTGATCAAAACAACAGGAGTAGACCTTTGTTTCAAAGTGGCTCCTCCTCTTGTGGGTTCCTGACAACCAGACCTGTTCTTGGAAAGGAGACAAGCCACATTTTGAATAAGAAATGAGGAAGACCTGAGAAAAACCTACTCTCATAGCAGAAGCAGAGTCTGATTGGTGGATCAAGTGGTCCTGTGTGCGCTAGGGGGTCCTGTGTGCATAGGGCTAGCCTGTGGGGGGTGATCCTGCATACACCATGGGTTCCTCTGTGTGCTGGGCACCTTTGCAGCCTATCAGGCCTGCCTGCCCACTGGGGGCCATGGGTTCTGGGCAACCCCATCTCAGCAAAGGGACACAGCCAGCCCCTGCCCTTCCCTTCTCCCTGGGGAGTCAGACTTCATAGGAATCTGTACTTGAAGTGAGATATTGATAATAAAACTCTGAGGCTGTGGTGAGTCCTTGCATTCCAGGTCCTTAACTTGTGTGATGGAGAAGACTGGAGCTGTTGTGTGGATGGGGTAGGGGGCTGCTCTCCCATCCTGCAGGAGCTCCCGTGGTACAGATACTGGCACAAGGCTCTTTCCACTTTCTCCTTTTGCTTATGGCCTCCTGAGCACCATTGATGGAAGCCTGAAGGTCCTTGAGCAGAGGCCAGGGTGCAAGAGAGACTGTGTGCATGGGAGGTGCTGGTAATAGGGCCTCCTGAGTTGGGCAGAGGAGCCAGGGATTTATCCAGGTGCATGGGGAGCCCCTGGGGATTCCCTGAGGGAACATTATAATCAGGCGTGCACTCAGTGTGGACCAGGGAGGCCAGGGGATGGGGTGGGTTTCAGGGTAAGAGGGCAAGTGGAGTCTGTTCCAACTCCAGAACTCTGGTTTTGGGTAAGCACTTGGGAGTTTGTGTCCCCAGCCGGGGCCAAGAATAAGAGGGTCCCACATGTCCAATGCCGAGACCAAGGCTTCCCTCTGCCTCTCTAGCTGACCCCCGACTTGGCCTTGTCAGAGCAATGAGAGCTTGAGGTGAGGTGTGGACCTACATCAGGCCTGAATTGCCCGCTCATCCCTTCCTCTTTCCCACCCTGACCACCACCCCTCAGGGGCCTGATGCCCTCCTTGACTCACTTTGAACTCAGAAGAAAAGTACTTGAGCACAGCCAGGCTTGAAGGGAGCTCAAAGCGGTGACACAGCCCATGCCCTCAGGCCCAAGAGGAAACCAGCTCCAAGTCCCACAAGTGTCTGGCTGAGCCAGGCTCCCAGCTCAGGCACTGCTGATGCCCAACATCCTTTGTCTGCGTCAGCAGGCCATCCCGCAGCATGGACCAGTGCCCCATGCCAGCACTCACCCTGGCCAGGAATGTCCACTCGTGGGGCACTGCTGGGCTGCGTGTAGAGCCATTGAAGAGCCTCTGCAGATGTTCACGTCTGCCCCAAAGGTGGGACATCCAGGGAAAGCTTCTCCACCCTTGTCATGGACCCCTCTGTGCCCACCCTACCCGGAGCTTCCCAACAGTTTGCCCACCCTACCCATCAAGGAAGGAACACCTCATGGTGTACTTCTGTGATTGTAATGAGTTGAGTTTTGTGCCCCCAAAAGATGTGTTGTAGTCCTAACTCTAGGGCCTTGGAATGGGACCTTATTAGGATTTGTACAGAGATAATCAAAATAAAATAATTTCATTAGGGTGGGCCCTAATCCAATATGACTGGTGTCCTTATAAAAAAATGGAAAATTTGGACACAGGGACAGACACGCATGCAGGGAGAATACCCTATGAAGACAGAAGCTATGCTGCCACACGCCAAGAAACTACCAGAAGCTGGGAGAGAGGCCTGGAATAGATCCTTCCCTAGTGCCTTCAGAAGGAGGATGGCCCCTCGATCTCAGACTTCTGGCCTTCAGAACTGAGAGAATAAATTTCTGTTGTTTAAGCCACTCATTTGTGATACTTTGTTATGGTAGTCCTAGCAAAATAATACAGTTGTGACCTTCACTTTACAAATGAGGAAACCGAGGCTTGGGGAGACACTATAACAGTCTCTCAGCTCCCAGTCAGGTGGGGAGGCAGAGCCATGAAGCCAGGAAGGAGCAGGAGGAGGACAAGGTGGACCTTGGCGTGCCTGCCCCTGTGGTCCCACAGTCCTCCCACACTGGTCTCACCCTGCTGCCCGGAACCCCTCCCACGTTCACCTCACATCATCCAGCCCCTGCCACTGCTCATGGTCACACTTTCTGCACAGCTCCTGCCTCAGGGCCTTTGCACTTGCTATACCGTCTGCCTGAATAACTCTTTCCCCAGATAACCCAACCACACTCTCCCTTACATCCCATAGGCCTTTGCTAAAGCCTTGGGGTGGAGGGCATCCCATCTAAAGTTGCAATTTTCCCTGCCTTGTTCTCTGCTCTTTATAGCAGCACTATCTGACACACTACTCGTATGTATTTTGATTGTTTCTTGTGTATCTCCCTGTCAGAAGGAGAGTTCCAGGAAGTTGGGACTTTTCCTCTCTTGTTTCCTCTGCTGTATCCTGACGCTTAGGCCAGGATGGTGGAGCTGGCGCTTCCCAAGGCCTCATTTATTTAGGCCAGTGCCTTGAAGTGAGGCCCCTGTGCTGTTGTTGGGTTGTCGGAAAAGTCATAACGTATTTTTTCTGGTTTTTTTGGTTGCAAAAATGTGTCATGACTTTTCCGACAACCCAATAGAAGGGCGCAAGGACCCTGGGAAGCTGATACCTTCTAGAAGTGCTTTTGACATGCCATCCAGGAAGGCCTGGGCCTGACCTTGGCATGGCTTAGCCAATTCTCTGTGCTTGTCACCAGATGCATCTGATCCCTGAGTTCCCAACATGGGTCCTCTTCTCCCAGGTGGATGGGGAATTATCCCCTTTTCAGATGCCCCTTCTCAGATGAGCTTCTGCTCTCTAGCTCCGAGATGGTTGAGTTGAGGTGTCCAAGCATGCAGGCTGGAGGTGTGTGACGGACTGATGCCGTGGCAAGTCTATGAGCAAGCATTACCATCCCAGGAATGCAGCCTCACCTCAGGTCTCATCCCGGCAGGCCTGGGCTCCTTGACTTCTGGCCTCAGAGACACCCCCACACCCCCATCTTTTTTTTTTTTTTAAAGCAATTCTTTTTTTTTTTTTTAATTGGGTAATTGGGGGGATGGGAACAGTGATGGGGAATTGCGGGAAGGGGAACAGACAAGTTGCTGTCGTTTTGTTCTTCAATCTAGTTGTGGAGGACGCTGCTTCACTGGCCCAAGTTGGCACCATCATTGCGCTCTTCCCTGGCGAGGCAGATCAGTCGCCGGCTTCTGGACGGCCGCTCACTGCGGCTGCTGGCTGCTCACGCTGGCTGCTGGCTGCTGGCTACACACGGTAGCCCATGGCAACCCACTGCCACAGGGGCTGCAGCCTACGCCGTCGCCAGCAACTCATGGCAGCCCAGCTCCAGGTTGAGCTGTTGTTCAGCATCTTAGCTGTGGAGGGCAGTGTCACTGGCCCTCATATGTGGGATCCGAACCGGGGCCCTCTGGCATCCCAAACGAGTTCTTAACCATCGCGCCACTCGGCCGGCCCCACACCCCCATCTTTTGATAAGTTTGCATGTGTGTACATTTGCTGGTGACCTTGATCACTTGGTTAAGGTATCATCCAGACCCTTCATCAGAGACTTGGCTCATGAGTGAGCTGAGTTGAGGTGGAAACACAGGCGCCCAGGGGGGAAAGTTTCCTCCCCCAGCTTGGGCTGGAGTTCCAGCTTCCAGGCATCAATCTTGGTGACTCTGAGGCTGGAGCTAGGTGGGGACTGTGAAGGGGGTCCCCGTCACTTGGTTGGTCTTAGGCCATGTGGGAAGCTAGATGTAGGGTGCAGGTCTGAGGTCTCAAGTCTGATTGGGGCAAGTGGGGCCTCCACTTCAGCAAGCACTGAAGTGTGGAGATGTGGCTGTGGCTGGATGGTGGTGTGCCGAGGGTTCCCATGGGCTCTGACTGCACTGGGCCGAGGCCAGCAGCAGGCTGAGCCCAGAAACCAGACCCTCACAGGACTCGATGCTCATTGTGAGGTGCCTGGTGCTGCCCACTGAGGGGGAAGGAAGAGAGGGAAGGGCCTAGGTAGTCCTCCAGCTTCCTCACCTGCAACACTCCCTCTCCCCCGCCTTTTCTTTCTTTCTTTTTTTTTTTTTTTAAAGATTTTATTGGGGAATCGGGGAAGGGGAACAGACAATTTGCTGCCCTTTTGTTCTTCAGTCTAGTTGTGGAAGACGTCGCTTTACTGGCCCATGTTGATATTGTGATCACTGCGCTCTTCCCGGCTGAGGCAGATCGGTCGCTGGCCATTGGATGGCTGCTCACGGTGGCTCACGGCAGCTCATGGCAGCTCACACTGGCTCCCGCCCACACACAGTAGCTTACAGCAGCCCACTGCAGCCCCACTGCATGCAGCCCACGCCATCGCTGGTGACTCATGACAGTCCTGCTCCAGGTTGAGCAGTTGTTCATCATCTTAGCTGTAGAGGGCGCAGCATTGCTGGCCCATGTGGGATCCAAACTGGCGGCCCTGCTGCTCAGAGCTCGCCCTCCCAAGTCAACTCTTAACCAATGAGCCACTCGGCCGGCGCCTCCTCCTGCCTTTTCTTAACTTTTCCATTTTGAAATGAGTTCAACTTGCTACAGACTTAGAAAATTAGAACAAAGAATTCCAATATTCTTCATCCAGTTCCCCCAAATGTTAACCTTACCTAACCACAGTAAAATGATTACAACCAGGAAATTAGCATTGATACAATTTTTTTTTTTAAGATTTTTATTGGGGAACTGGGGGAAGGGGAACAGACAAGTTGCTGTCCCTTTGTTCTTCAGTCTAGTTGTGGAGGACGTTGCTTCACTGGCCCAAGTTGACACCATCATTGCGCTCTTCCCGGGCGAGGCAGATCAGTCTCCGGCTTCTGGACGGCCGCTCACGGCAGCTTGAGGGCGGCTCACACTGGCTGCTGGCTACACACGGTAACCCATGGCAACCCTCTGCAGCAGGGGCTGCAGCCTACAGCCTGTAGCCAGTGACTCACTGCAACCCAGCTCCAGGTTGAGCTGTTGTTCAGCATCTTAGCTGTAGAGGGCAGTGTCACTGGCCCTCGTATGTGGGATCCGAACCGGGGCCTTCTGGCAACCCAAGCCAGTTCTTAACCAATGTGCCACTCGGCCGGCCCACATTGATACAATATTAAACAATCTACAGACCGAATTTGAATTTTACCAATTGTCCCACTAATATCCCATTCCTAAGCTAGATTCCAATCTAGGATCCAGATCCCACATCCCAATTAGTTGTGTCTCCTCTAATCGAAGACAGCTCCTCAGTCTTTGATTTGCATGATTGACACTTGAAAAGTACCAGCCAGTTTTTTTGGTAGGATGTCCTTCATTTGGGTTTGTCTGATCTTTCTTCATTAGTACATTCAGGTTTTTGCCTTTTGGGCAGAAATACCAGTGATATACGAGGTCTGAGAATTAAGTTCGCGACCTTGTTGCAATGATCAGAGGGATTATTCATTATGAATTTGTACCAACTGGACAAACAGTTAACCAAGTTTACTATTTGGAAGTGCTGAAAAGGCTGCATGAAAAGTTAGACCACCTAAACTTTGCACCAACAATTCATGGTTCTTGCATCATGACAATGCACCAGCTCACATAGCACTATCTGTGAAGGAGTTTTTAGCCAGTAAACAAATATCTGTATTAGAGCACCCTTCCTACTCACCTGATCTGGCCCCCAATGACATCTTTCTTTACCCGAATATAAAGGAAATATTGAAAGGAAGATACTTTGGTGACATTCAGGACATCAAGAGTAATACAATGGACAACTCTGATGGCCATTCCAGAAAGAGTTCCAAAATTGCTTTGAAGGGTGGACTAGGCACTGGCGTTGGTGCATAGCTTCCCAAGGGAAGTACTTGGAAGGTAACCATAGTGATATTCAGCAATAAGGTATGTAGCACTTTTTCTAGGATGGGTTTGGGAACTTAATTGTCCCACCTCATATGTCTTTCTCAGGAGGCCCACAATATCCCTTTCCTGGAGCTGGTTTTTCTTCACTTTTATTGAGGAATAATTAACATACAATGCAACACACATCCTTAAAGTGTATAATTTGATAAGTTTGGATATGTATACATTTACTGGTGACTTTGATCACTTGGGTGTCTCAGTTTTTTTCCATTGCAAAGCTACCATTTTCCTTTTGCAGTTACTAAGTATCTCAGAAGAGAAACTTTGCAACTTTGTAAAACAAACAACCCGCCCCCTCATACTTCTGCCCAATATTTTTAAGGTTCATGATTTTTGCCTGCAGCAGTTAGTGTGCTGGCTGCCAAATGGGATGTTTTCTTCCATCATTTCTTCTACATTTACTTACTGGAATTCTGGTCTAATTAAGGAAGAGTGGTCCCTTCTCCATTTACCTCCCCCTCCCTTTTTCGAGTCTCCTGATACAGTATTAGCAAATGGAAAAGTGCCAGGCAATTGAACATACTTCTTTTTTCCTAATGATTACGTTTAATGCTTTTAATTGGAAAATGCCTATGGGTGAACGGTCTCATCTATACTGTCCAGACCAGAGACAGTAGCGAGCGCCCTGCTCCCGGCGTTCTCCGCGCTCCCCGGTTCCCAACATCCCCCGCGCTCTCCCGTTCCCGGCGTTCCACGCGCATCCCGCGGTCATCTGTTCCCGGCATTCCCCGCGCTCCCCGTTCCCGGCGCTCATCGCGGCCATCGCCCTCCGCGCGGCTAGCCCCGCCCGGGCGGCGACCGTTACCGCGGCCGTGGCCTCAGTGCCTGGTCCCGCCCGCGCGGCCGCGCCATTGGGTCGCGAGCCGAGGCCGCGAGCGCCCCGCGCGGCCGATTGGTGGCCTCCGCAGCCCTCTTGGCATCTTCCCCAATACGGGGCGTCCGCGCGCAGGGATTGGCCGCGCGCCGCCAGGGTCCGCCCTCCGCTCGCCCGCGCGGCAGGCGGGTCCCGCCGACCGGGGAGAGCCTCGGTGGCCTTTCTGGATGGCAGCGGCGGCTGGGCCGTGAGGGTCTCCCTATTGTGGTCGGGCTGCGGGCAGCTCGGGCAGGCCGCGGGTCCCGGAGGTAGGTGCGGGGCGCGAGGGGCGCCCCGCGAGCTGGCGGGCGGGCGCTGCGGCCTGCGTGAGGGCGCGGCCTTCCACTCTCAGGCCGGGGGCCGCGGGCGGCGAGGCGGGAGGGCGGGAGGGCGCGAGGTGGGCCTGGCCACGCGGAGTCCTGGCCTTTGTGAAGCATCATGGCCGCGGGCCTGGAAGAGCGCGGGC